TATGGATGTCCAGCTTGTACCAAGAGAACCTAACCAAAAACCCTAAAACATGACTCCACTTTTTTTTTCTGAGAAAACGAGGCAAAGATTTTTTTTTCTCTTGAGAAAGATGATTTCAGTCGTCAAGAGATCTTTTTAAATGTTAGTATGATAGATAACTGAATTTTTTATAGACAGATGTTTTTATTAAATGTGCTTGGAGTAATGATGTTTGTTTAGTATTTTCCTCAAAGGAATTTAGAATGCCTTGCATTTTCTTGGTTATTTCTTAAAGTATTTTTTTCTGATCATATTTTAATCTTGACTATAAATTCTTCATTCAGTTTTTCTCACTGAATTTTCTCTGAAATTTTTCCCATAAGTCTCATTTCCTGCTATTCTCTGCATCTGCAGGATTATAGACCCCCACCACTTCAGACATCCAAGACAAGCATTCAAGACATTTCCTCACTGTGTCTGGCTTCTCTTTCTCTATTTGCTACTTATTATTGTTCTTGCAAACTTTTCTGTTTATAAGAGTTTCACCATACTTCTTCTCCCTTGAGAGAATAATTGCTTGAAATATACCTTGTTCTTCTACATAAATATTTCCTTTTTAAATGTTATTTGTTTACTTATTTTCAATCTGTCTCACTTCATACAGAATTTGAGGTAACTACCTAAATGTTTTCTTTAACATGAGCCGTGATTATTGGCATTGGGAATCTGATATTCATGGTAGATTTTCTTTTTAAAAAAAGTTTCTCCTTTCAGTCCTCAGGGATTCACCTAAATTTCCTTTTCACTAAGATTATCTTAAAAAAATAAGAAAAAAATCATGAGTTTAAGACAAACTAATATTTTGTAGAAACAAATCAGATAATTCCCTGCCTTCAGGAAATAACCACCAAGAACCCCTCTTCATTGAAATCATCAGTTAGTTGAGTGCCCCTGTCCTGAGGAGACCATGGGGGATTATTAAATTATGTGTAAGACACCTTAGAAATCCCCGCAGTTATTTTTATGGATATAGAAACTGAGACCAGAAAGTTTTAGAAACTTACTTAGTCTCAGAAGTACTCAGAGATATGTTAAGAATTTAGTTTAGAAGACAAATAACCTGGCAGGTTTTAAAAAATCATTAAAGAAGGTAGTAAATAGCATGAAATAATGAATGATGTGGTTATTCTGGGCAGTGGTGAGCTGGTAGATGATTAACAACCAGGGGAGGGGGTAGACACAAGCAGCCTGATTTGTGTTGTTTACTAGTTTCATGGTGCCCATGCCAGTTTCAGGCTACCAACCTGATGCCCTTGAACAAGGAGCTGGGAAGAAATGAGCACAATCCACTTGGCTCTCAGGAGTGACAGAGATCGTCCGCCTAGAGTGAGCAAGTCTGTAAGGAGGAAGAAAACTGAGCTAGACCATTTCTCCCTGTGCCCTAGACACTGCTGTGAAGGACGGCCATGGTTTTTCCATCCAACAACTGTCCCAATCTGCCTCTTCGCTCTTGCTCTTTCCTTGATGAATAAAGAACTCTCCACCTAATGAGCTATGACTTATACCTCAAGGCCAGTCAAAGATAAGGGTCTCTGTGAGGTTTTTTCTGACCCTTTTGGAAATAATCTCTTCCCTGCTTTGAATGCCAGAATACTTTATTTATATCTTTTATTAGGGTAATTACCAAAGCCTATCTTGGTATTATTGTCAGTAGATGGTGTCTTTCCCCTCTAGACTGTCCTTGGAGGACAGGGACCATGTCTTACTCCTGCATTTTCAGAGAAGCGGCACAGGCTAGTGGGTAGGAGCCCAAGGTCTAGAGTCAGACTGCTCAGCTTCAAGGCCTAACACTGTACTCACTTGCTGTGGGATCCTGGGAAAGTCAGCAAACCCCTCCGTAATCATCTGTAAAATGAGACCTTAAATGTGAGTCTCGATCTCCCAAATTTGTTGTGACAATTAATGAAATTGCTAGATAGGGTCAGTACCTAGCACATTTAAACCCTCAATAAATGTTACATAGTATTCCTATCTCTAGCATATAGTCAAGTGCCTAGAGCAGAATTGGTGTGCGGTTGTTGGTTGCACTGAGTTGATAGGAAGCAAGGATATGATGCAGTTAGCTTGGTAGGAAGTTGAGGAGGGGTGTACGAGAAGGAGCTGTATGAACAAGCTATTGTTGAAGAAGAATGGTATACTTAATAAAAACCAGTGGATTATAGAATTATAAAATCAGAACCCAGTATCCCTGCTGTGGAATGATGAACACAGGGCAGGGTATGATCGTCTGTGCTCTCCCTTCACCCCATATGCCAGATACGGTACCTCTATAAAGAGGTATTACTGTTGCAATAGTAATATAAAGAGGTATTACTGTTGCAATAGCTTTTATAGACTGCTGTTGATTGAGATATCCCCTTTTCAATGTTGTGCATTTGCTTTCTAAAACATCTCAATGCTGTATTTTAAGTACAAATAATGTTAAATTTTATTCTATTTGGTTCATCCATCATCCAATGAATTCACATCTCTTCCGAACTTGATTCTGCGATGCAGTATATTTTCTGTCCTGCCTAGTTTTGTGTTACCTGCAATTTTGTGAGCATGGCTTCTACTTTGTTTTCTAAAACACTATACAGGCCACTTCTGAAAACACAGTCCTCTGACATGTAGTTAGAGACTTCTTTCCATGTTGGCCATGATTTATAGATCATTTTTTTTTCCTTTTTGGTTACAGATTTTAAACTCCTTTCAAATCTATCAAAGTATGCAATAATATGCATATTCTATCATCTTGTTCACAAGAATGTCATGAGAAACTGCCACAATGCTATGTCTGCAGCATTTCCCCCCCCAGTTATAGAAAGTCTATTAGAAAGGAAAATGCTGCGAGTTTATTGCAATCTGTTCCTAATTAACCTATGTTAGTTCCCAATATCAACAATATCCTTTTCCGAGCTGAACAAGGAATTCATGATTCAAAATAGTGAAGTTAATTGTGGCAAGTTAGGCTAGGCTCAATGTACAGACCTTGACCATCTAGTGAGGCGTTAGCACAGTCCTGAAGGCAGTGAGAAATGGTCGAAATTTTTGAATCAGGATTATATAACAGAAGTGTGTTTTAAGAAAGCCATCTGGTGGCAGTGTCCACAACGGGATCTGGGGGGACCCTTATGTGAAGTGTGAAGTTTCCCGCAATAATCTCAGAATGGGTTGCTGGACTACGTTAGGCTAGGCTAGTAGCAATAAAGAAGAAAGATAAATGTGGATTAAAAAATCAAAAGAGGCTATTGAGGGAAGATGATAAAGGATTTTTAAAAATCACAAAAATAAGTACCTTAGGACTTCCCAGCCACTTTCACATTATTGAATGTACAGAAAATAATACAGGTTTGGCCACTGTGGTAAATACAACTGCTTGGGGATGGAGGTGACCAATGTCATGGGACCCCAGGGCTGGGTTTTCCTCTTTCAAGCACCACCTGTCCCCAGCCACTGGCAGAGGACATTAATATCTCCACATGGTTGGGAAGCTGCTTGGACATTTCTGCATTAGAAATAAGTAGTCTTAGCCATATGAGGAAAAACTTACACCAAAATCAGGATCCAAAGTTCAGAGAGAAGTATATGTATTTTACAAAGCAAACGTTTGGTTCAGTGCACAATTCTGAACAAAGTAGCAAATTATCATTTACACATTTGGATGAAAACCAACCAGCATCAGTTCAGGAAGCACTGCGTAGGAGCCAAACAAGACAGCACAGGCCACCAAATCACTACCCATGTCATCATACAATGACACAAGCACAGTGGCTGTACGGGCCACTAGGCAAAGAAAGAAGGGAGCCAGGGTTTTACTTTAATATGGGAATCCAAGCCTATTTTCTTGAAAATGTATGAAGTGCTGCCAACTTGCTGCTTCTTACTGATTTCTGTAGTTAATAAATTAAGCAGTTTTGTAGCCCTGGTGCCTCACCTGTTCTGCTAATTTGCATTGCTGCATGAAGGAACTTGTAGATTGAGAAAATGCAGGAGTTTGCAATCCACAATTCCTTGTGATAATTGAAGATGCTCAGTTATAGAAAATTAGAAAGTATTCTTCTTCCTCCATTAAACATAATAACAGAGAACAAGAACACACCAACAAAGGAATGCCGATTCTATTGTAAAAAAAATAGCAATGAATGGCTCTTCTGAAAATTAATGGAGCCAACACATTTCTCCAGATGGTCTTCAGCAGGCTGCCATGGACATGAGTCAGGGGCACCCGCCTTTCACATTGGAGTTCATGTGGGTGGTGCTTCCGGTGTTGGGATGCCCAGCCTGTGTGGCCATTGGTGGCAGCTCACAGAGAGACCTATCGGATTCATCCAGGGCTTCCACCTAGTCCAAGCATTACCTGTGAGTTCCCTTAGCCCAACCACACTCCCTTTCCAGATGAACTGTGTTAGTATTCTTTAATCCCAGTGTATCATTTTATTCTGATTCAGATCAGCCTAGCTCTCCCCACTGGTTCTCCTTTACAGCCAAAACACATCCTTCTGGCTCATTTGCTCCCATCGTTCCATTGAACTTTCCAAAGCTATTTGTTGCTCTCACCATCATGCCCCCACATAATGCAGGAAACACGGGCATCCTCTCACACTTGCTACAGCTTCAGTCCAGTACCTACCACACAGCGTTGCAAACAGTTGCTTACATTTCTGACTCCTTCACTCGGTGTGAGCTTGATGAAGGGCAGATTGATGTTTCTTTAAGCCATGGGGCCTAACAGGGTGTCAGCACATAGCAGGTCCTCATTTAGTGGCTGGTAAATGAGTGGTGAAAGCGAATGTATTGCCCTTCTTACATTTGGGCACAGAAGTCTCCTTTTGGACATATGGTTTCAAAAGCATTTCTCTTTCTGTTACATACAATGCCTGTGCTTGTTGGACTTTGTTTATCAGCTTTCTGGGAAGATGCTAGGCCAGGCTATTATGTTGTGACCAGTGTTTTCTGAGTCTTGTGTTCATCCTGTGCAGGTGGGGAAGTGGAAAGACAAGTCCCTGCAGATGAAATACTATGTGTGGCCCCGGATGTGTCCTGAGACCGAAGAACAGGAAGATGACCACTTGAGTATTGTGACCCTGGAGGAGGCGCCATTTGTCATTGTGGAAAGTGTGGACCCACTGAGTGGAACCTGCATGAGGAACACAGTCCCCTGCCAGAAACGCATAGTCACTGAGTACGACATCCTTCTCAATGGCTCTGGGTGGCACAGGAGGGCAGATTCGATGCAGCTGTTAGCACCTGGAGGGCCTGAGACCTGAGGCATAGATTGAATTGAGCACCATGTTTGATTTCCAGTTGCTACTGAGGGATGGAATTACTGGCAACCCTGTAATCTGATGTCTGGTTCTGTCCAGATGGTAACCAGTGAAAATGACTACTAACTTCCTCTGCCAAAGTTCCTTTGGCCTTGCCTGGCCTCAGTGACCAGGGACCTCAAATTTCTGGAGATTTAAATTGGCTTTTGGTATTGAAAATGTTTTCTCAGGTCAGCCTATCCTGAAATTTTGAGATTTAGAACCATATTTGGAAAGAGATAAAACTCATCTATGCTGTTAAAAGTCAGAAAAATGGTTCGCTTTGGTGGGAAGTGCCTGAAAGTGGGGGAAAAAGGCCTCTCAGGTGCTGGTAACTTTTCTGTTTCTGGATGAGAGTGCTGGTTAAAAGGGTGAATTCAGTGTGTGAAAATTCATCAGACTGAACCTTTAGAATATGCACCCTTTCCTGATGTATACTGTACTTCAAAGGAGCATTAAAATTTGTGAGAAAACATGGTTCAATGTAATGAGACAATGAGAATATTGCAGTTCTGTAGTCTGATGTATTTCTTCACTGAGATCTGGCATAAATTATGCTGAGCTGTGAAAGGGGCCTGCTTTGAGGTTGGAGGGATTTCTGTTTAATGACAAAGGGCAAAATTTTGTCTCTTGTACAAAACCTTGTTTTTTGTTGTTGCTTTTTTAACTGGCTAGGAATAAAACAGATGAGGAGCCAGGTTACATCAAAAAATGCTGCAAGGGGTTCTGTATTGACATCCTTAAGAAAATTTCTAAATCTGTGAAGTTCACCTATGACCTTTACCTGGTTACCAACGGCAAGCATGGGAAGAAAATCAATGGAACCTGGAATGGTATGATTGGAGAGGTGAGTGCCAAGAATTAAGGGCCATGTCTATTTTTCATTTTTTTGTTTTGTTTTAATATTTTTAAAATCAGGCTCTTTTTATGAATTTCGGGAAATATAAAATAGTAAATAGGAGTACTTTTCCTACCATACAAAGAAAACCACTGCTGGGCCATGAATATTCTTGCCTTCCGGAGTGTTCTAATTGGAGCATTGCACCTTTCTCTTCAGGTGGTCATGAAGAGGGCCTACATGGCGGTGGGGTCACTCACCATCAATGAGGAGCGATCGGAGGTGGTTGACTTCTCGGTGCCCTTCATAGAGACAGGCATCAGTGTCATGGTGTCACGCAGCAATGGGACTGTCTCACCTTCTGCCTTCTTAGGTAAATGATGGGTTTGCTGGTGGAAGGAAACGGGCATAAGGACAGGGAGATGGAATAAGGAACACCCGAAGGGGCACATGGCCAGGCTTCTCTCAGCCAGCAGGTGGTCTGCTAGGAGCTTAACTCAGTCAGGGACTTCATCTGGGAGACTTCAAAATTGATTACTCTCATACAGGAAAACTGAAGAACACCCAGACAAATAGGAAGGCATCATGCCCCATAAGAAAACAGTGCTGAACTGGTAATCAGAGGAGCTACTGTTGTACTGTTTCTGTAACTTAGCATTTACCTTGAGCAGATTTGTTCCATGCTGGGAATCAGTTTCCTCATCTACAGGAGAAGGCATTTCAACTAGCTGATCTCTGAGGCTGCTTCCTGCTGTAATAATTCCTAATTCTGGATATCATCGAAATATCTATTTATTTTGAATAATCTTCAAGAATTGAGCTCAGTGTTACCAAAAAAGGTTTTTTGTTTCCACATGAATTTTCTGAGGCTCTGCCAGAGAGAGCTGATCTGATTCTTCCTCCCACCCCACCCTCCCCTTACCACTCTCTCCAGCATCACTTAAATGTCAAAAGCCTCAGATGTGATAAAAGACTGGGTGAGATGAGGCCAAGATTTCAATTAGATGAGGTCTTTTGTGAGCTCACATCCCATATTTTTCACAGGGGCTATGGAGCAAGGGGTTGGAAAATAGAATGTCACCTTGAAAACAGAACACTGACCTGGGAGACAGGAGGCCTGGTTTGGTCACAAACAAGCTGTAAGCCCCTGGACAAGTCACAGTCTCTCTAAGGGACATCAACATTTTTTTTTTAAACGGGGCTATTAGAGTAGACAGTGACTAACATTTCTCTAAGCTTTATCCACAGGAAGTTAATTCAATTAATGTACTACAAAGTGGCGTTATAGGCTCCATAGAATTTCTCTATAAATTACTCACGTTTCTTAGTTAATCTTCTTACTCACAGTGAAGCACATTCTGGCCTTGCTAATTTTATGTGAAATGTTATTAGATAGCACACACTGTATGTATTAATCCTCATAACTGCTGTGTTTAATTTATTTGCTTTATTTTCCCCTTTGCAAGTACAATTGGAACATCAACAGATACAAACAAAAACTACATTCTAATTCTAACTCTGTCAGTGTAGCACTAACCTTAACCTCTGAACTGGAAGAGGCAGTGGTACACTGATATAGCCCTGAGATGGCATAGAAATGCCAGGCAGAATGTAGTTGTGTCTATATTCAGAGGAAGAGCAGTTTGTTAGTTGTAGAGATAAAGGAGGCCAACATTTATTGAACATTTACTATATAATATGCTGGGCATTATTATTATTATATTAACTCGTTGATCCTGTTATTAGGTCCACTTTATGGCTTAGGAAGCTGCATCTTAGACAAGACATATTAAGCCATTTCCTAGTAGCCTTTTAGTTGGTAACTAGCAGATCTGGAATTAAAGTCTCATCATGGTAGCCTTCAGAGCCTGTGTTCTAGCACATATGAGGCCATTTCAGAGCTCACCTCCTAATCCAGGAGCCAGCATGCTGGACAGAGACAAATATGCAACATAATACAATGGGGAAAACAGGTTTTTTGCTTCAGAGGACCTCAGTTCATAACCTGACCCTGCTGCTTTCTGATTATTTATAAAATTCAGAGACCTTGACCTCTCAGTTCTAGTTTATTGCTCCAGAGAATAGATATAGTAATCCCTAGTGAAAGGGCCATTAAAAGAATCATATGTAGTATATGGTGAAAGTACTTTTTAAACTGTAAAAACCAATACAGATGTTTGTTATATTTTGTGTGCAGAAAGTTTCTCGGGGCGGGGGCGGGGAGACACCATAGCAGTGATGCTTTTACTCGGTTATTTCCCAATCTTAGACAACAGTAAAATCGGGGCAGAAGTGAAATAAATTAGAGTCGAGAGTGGAAGGTGTTTGCCACACCACTGCATAGAGGCTTTGAATCATACATTCTACCCTGGCATCTGACTTCTGTTGAAAGGTTTTGCATTTCACAGTCAGTTTGCTAAGCTCTGGGCCTTTATCAAGATCTTTTTAAATTGATTAAGTGACCGGGCTTTTATAATTCCTTTGGGAGTTCAATAATAAAGTAGGTTTCAGAGTAAGAAATATATTTTCTAATTTTCAGCCAATTTTTCCCTTTTCTAACTTCATCTTTATTAATGATTTGGAAGATGGAGAAAACGGCATGTTAATTCACTTAGTTATGAGTTTACAATGTGCTGTGACAGCTAAAAAGGCCAGGACTATTTTGAGACACAATTGAGGGAGCATTGTATCATGGGACAGAATAGCGATTGTCCCTTTTTATAGGCCTTCAGAGAGATGGCTTCTGGAATATAGTGTCCAATTTCTGATCACCTCCAAGTCAGAGAAGTATTTAGCTCAACTGGGAGGGATTCAGCAAAAATAATTAAAGATATTAAGGAAAGCATGGTAGAACATTCTTATCTCTACAACCTAAAAAGTTCACGAGCATGAGGCTGGCTTCCTTACGTATTTGACAGGAAAAAAATCCTCGACATGCCCATCAGGGGTTGTTCAGGGACAGTCTCCTGCTTCTTAAACTAGGCCCTGGCCCCTGAAGGCAGGCAACACTCGTGGTTTGTTCCCCACCCTTCAAAATACGAGTCTGCGTGAGCAAATGAAGATGTCAGTTAATGAGAATCTATTTGTTCTCTGTTTTAACCCTGAGCGCTGTTTGTTTCTTCCCCAGAGCCCTTCAGTGCTGACGTGTGGGTGATGATGTTCGTGATGCTGCTCATTGTCTCAGCCGTGGCTGTCTTTGTCTTTGAGTACTTCAGCCCTGTGGGTTATAACAGGTGCCTCGCTGATGGCAGAGGTAAGGCCAGTGGGAACTTTTTCTAGTTCTGCCTTTTTTCTAGTTCTTAATCCCAAATTGCTGGACTCCTCACATGTTATCTGCATCTTCTCTAACTTACCCATTTCTGAAAAGGAACCCTCAGCCTTCTAGATCACCAACTTGGTGTCTCTCTAGAAAACTCCAATTAAGATGTTAGTTTGAATTTATATGCCTCCTCTCTGGTTTATGCCTGGCCCCAAGCCCAGTTCCATCCCTAAGTAAAGGAGAGGAAAGACTGGTGGTAGATACAGGTAGCATAAACATATCACAGGAAACGATTTTGATAACCTTAGGCTGTGGGCTGTTGGAACAGATGTCACTAACAAAGCAGACTGTACACACATATTAATAAGAGTAAGGAAAAAGAAGTTTCCCCAAGGCATATGCAGGTGGTTGTGGCTGGTAGAGCTCCCCACAGCCAACAGATCACAGCTGAGGCACCAGATCTCTAAAGCATATGCCCTTGGCTCAGTCCCCCTGCCAGAGAGTATGAAAGTTGAGTGTTTGAAATAAAATGGGTGGGAAAGACCAATTCTCATCTATAGCTACTATTTGGGTGGTCCAGTTTCCTGGATGGGTAGGCCCACAGATGTAAAGGCTGCCCGTGTATTTGAAGCATTTATAACACGTTTTAAAATTCACTAGATTTCTGGAGGAGGTCATGGGATCTCTGTAAAAGCTTCTCCCACATTTCCTTAGATGAAGAAACATTCCACCTTCTCTGAGTCTTCATCCTTCCAAAGTGTGAACTGTATCCTGTAATTATTACCTCCAAGAGGAAAGATTCTTGACCCTGACTACTTATAAGAATTATCTAGTCCTCTTTTGATGGGCAACATGGTTGGTTCTATGTTCTTGCTACTGTGAACAATACTGTGATTAACATATGTGTGCAGGTTTTTTTTTTATAGAGTGATTTGAGTTCTTCTGGGTATATTCCCTGTAGGGGGATTGTGGGGTCATATGGAAGGTTGATTTTTAGATCTTTTAGGAATCGCCACACTGTTTTCCACAGAGGCTTTACTGGTTTACACTCCCACCAACAGTGTAGAAGTGTTTCCTTTTTGCCACATCCTCCCCAGCATCTGTTGTTTTTTGAGTTATTGATGATAGCCATCTTGACTGGTGTTAGGTGTATCTCAGTGTAGTTTTTAATTTGCATTTCTTCAATACTAGTGAGGCTGAGCATTTTTTCATGTATCTGTTGGCTGCTGGATAAAAAAAAATATGGTACATATACACGATGGAATATTACACAGCCATAAAGAAGAACAAAATCATGAACTTCACAGCAACCTGGATGGACTTAAGGTCTATAATACTGAGTGATTTTTCACAGAAACAAAGAACTGAGTATCACATGTTCTCACTGATAAGTGAACCTTGAACAATTATCGTAATACTATAAGAAAAGGATTGGCAGTAGCGGGAAACTGCCAGGAGGGGAGTGGGGAAGCAAGATTGGCAATAGTGAGAATCTGCCTGGGGAAGTGGGGGCACACCTCATCAACAAGGGTACCTGCATAATGAACATTTGTATACCTAACCTCGAATTATACCCCACATCTTTAAAATAAAATTTTAAAAGTTAAAAAAAAAAGATTACTTAAAATATCTTAAAAAAAAAAAAGAATTATCTATGAAGCACTTAAAAGATACAGGTACTTGGACATCATTTTCGGATTCACTAAGTGTAGGTTGGGGCTTGGACCACTATATATTTCAAAATAATGGTTATCTTGGTTGCATGTTAAAGTAAAATAACCAGTCTCACTTCATACAAATTTAATAAGAATCTCTGGGGGTGGGATGTCAGGCAGCAATATTTTGTAAAAATCCCCCTTATGCTTCTGTTCAAATGTACAGTCCAGGTTGTGAACTGCCCCTTTTACTGAAGTACTTCTAAATGTAGATCTACCTTATTTGGTTTGTGCATTCTGGGTAAAATTCTGGATGTCTCTATGGTATAGTATAGTCGAGGGCTTCCCCCTGTACTAAAGAGTCATCCAGAAGCCATGACCTCCATCAGGTAATCCCATGAGTATATATGTAGGTCGACATTGTCAAGAACTAAAGTTAGTGTACACTGCACCCATCTCCCTTGATAAAAACCAGGGAGTGAAAATCCAGATTCACGAAGCTCAGAGAAAAGGTTTACAATCACTTACTTTACCAAAGATGCTTGTCTTCACAAAGGAATTCACCGTAGGGCAGCTTGAAATATTATCTCCTTAGAGCATTTTACAATTTACAAAACTTTGATTTATAAACAACTTTCTAGTTACACATCTGTTGCATGAAATAAGGTCCACACACACAGATGTGTGTGCACAGTTAGTATCAGGTTCGACAGGCATAGTCTCTGATGATTTAGTTGTCTGAGCAGATGCTATCAAGATCACAGGTAACATCGTAAGACCTGCGCTAATATGCTGTAAAACTGTGCAGGCAGATGTTCGTTTCTGCAGTGGAGGGACTACGTGGAGATCCAGATGACAGGCAAGACTTTACCATCACCAAGCAGAGGCAGCAGTGAGGTCATAGCATGTTTATATGCAGAAGCCTAGGTGCTGTCTGTGCAAAGGTCAGATGGAGGGAAGTCAAAGTCAAAGACAGTTGCCTGTCTATCCTCAGATTCCTATGGCTAGGCCAAGAGTTGATGATTTCCTCCCCGGGCTTTCTGATACTCTTTTACACAGAAGCTACTACTGTAGGAAACCAGTTGGGAAGTGTTGGCACTGGAGTGGAGTCAGGGATGTCTTTGGAATATTGATTGTTAAGTGCCAGAAGCTAAAGAAAAAAAATCAGGAAAAAGTTCATTCAAAGCCATCTAACATCAGTCTATTCTATGTGAATAGACTTGGAGGATGTTTATTACAACGGTAGAAAAAGATCTTATGCAATTCTCACTGACATATTTGGAAGTTAAAATACTTTCTTGGTAGATACAAATATAAAACTTAGGAAAAATGATAGTAATGACATAATTGTGACTATAGTGCAATAGTTGGCCTTTGTTATTCAGTTTTGATGTGATCTTGAAGGTACTATATATGGGGGCAGTAAGATAGCTCCTCTAGGGCCCAGACTGAGTCATGACTGTCTATTGGAGAAAGATCTCACACACACCCAAGGTCTCTGGCTTTTCTCCCAAGAAAACCTCTTTTGCCCTCCAGAGGGTCCCAGGAGAAGAGAGGTACAAACTCTCAAATTAGGAAACTGTCTATAAAAGGGCTTGGTTTTAGTTGAAGGGTTTCCTGCTCTGAGTATGTATGGACTTACCAGCTCTGTGTATCTGTAGGTTTAAGTAGAACCAGTCACTCTGGATTAATTTCTGTTCTTGTCTTTTTGTCTTGTCATACCAGAGCCAGGAGGCCCCTCCTTCACCATCGGCAAAGCTATTTGGTTGCTCTGGGGTCTGGTGTTTAACAACTCCGTACCTGTGCAAAACCCAAAGGGGACCACATCCAAGATCATGGTGTCGGTGTGGGCCTTCTTTGCCGTCATCTTCCTGGCCAGCTACACTGCCAACTTAGCTGCCTTCATGATCCAAGAGGAATATGTGGACCAGGTTTCTGGCCTAAGCGACAAAAAGGTAAGAGACCTATTGGAAACCTCTTGTCTTTCCTGTTCTGAGTTGAGCTCAATGTTCTCACGTACCTGTTAATTTTCTGAATCTTTAGAATTGAGAGTTCTTTCTTATGTTTCTTTGTATTGGGACATAGGAGAAGAAATCGGTTTCCCTACTGAAATAATATGACTTCATGTTGGCCTCCTGATTTGTGAAAGGTTGTCAGCAGCACGCCCTGAGCTACAAATAAGGGGCTTGGTATGTTGGCAACCTTCTGAGCCCATAGTGGCTCCTATTGGATACGGTAGGGTGGCCTATCAGCACAGGGCTGCTGGTGTGGGGTGTTATTAGAGGGCTGCCCCTGTGTACCGACACTGAAGGGATGACAGTGTTATGGCCTTATTTTCTTCCCAGTGGGATTTGGCTGTGGGCTCTCTCTTTGTTCCTCTGCACACTCGCGTGTTCCTAGGTCTGAGCAGGAGGGTTGTTCACATTGTGTCTTGAAGAGAAGTAACTGCTGTTTAACTTAATGATTGCCTCTGTGTGGTGCTGATGACTGGGTTGCCCCCATACTAAATGCAGGCCTCCCTGTTGGCCTGGGCTCTCAAGAGAGGAAGAAAAGTGTCTGCCCGTCTTCATCATTTCTGGATGAGGACGTACAAAACCTATTCTAAATACATCTGACTCTAAGTTTGCCTAAAGCATCACAATTTCCATGGAAGATCTGTCTCCTGAAACTATGTAACCTGGATGGTCCTAAACTAGTGACAAGTGCTACCTTTATGAAAGTTCTGGTAAAACTCCTGGCCAAAGTAATTTTGGAGACTTTTGCTTACAACACATTGTTTCCTCAAGATTTGAGCAATGTAATTTTCTACCTCTACTCCCACTCCCAGTATGAAGCTATGAGATATATACAGATGTGCCTTTAGACCAAATAGTGCTTTATCACATGGATTCCTCGAACATAAAACCCTGAACACTTAAAGTGAATGCTTTGAGGTGAGCAAAAAGGAAGAAATAATCTCTTTATGGGCTCAGGATCTGATTCCTCCATCTACCAGTCTCTAATCATCAAGAACACTCTAAAGCATGTGCAGGAAGATAAATAGCATTCTGAGGAAATGAAAAAGAAATATAATATACTTGTATACATCATATATATGTATTTTACTATGTTTACCTTTTGTTATCTCTCTCTGACTTTTCTTCTTCCTTATTTTAAAAAAGATTCTCTTTCTTGTATTTAATTCTCGCTTACCTTGAAGCTTTTATTTACTTTCCTCATCTAACTCATGATTTATTATACATTTATTCATATATTCATCCATTTATTACTTAATTCATTTTTAAACCTTTTTTTTTTTTTTTTTTGAGTTGGAGTCTCACTCTGTCGCCCAGACTGGAGCGCAGTGGTTGCTCCCGGCTACCGCAGCCTCGACCTGCTGGGCTCCGGCGATCCTTCTGCCTCAGCCTTCCAAGTAGCTGGAACTACAGGCGCGTGCTACCACAACCAGCTAATTTTTTGATTTATTATAGAGATGAGGTCGTGCCAAGTTGCCCAGGTGGGTCTCAAACCCGCGGGTTCAGGCAATCTGTTCACCTTGGCCTCCCAAGGTGCGGGATTACAGACTGAGCCACCAAGTCCGGCTCATTTTTAAACCTTTATCTGTCTCACTGTTCCTTTATCAACATCTTTCATCATGATCCTAACTAAAATTTTTGTTAGACACCTCCCTTCACATCCCCTGTTACAACCATCATCACCTTTTTCATGACTGTTTCTATAACCTAGGCAGTTGTGGGGCTGAGAGCAACTGCTTCCTCTGGGCTCAATACTCGGCTGTGGGATATGTAAGGTGGACCATGCCCAGCTGCTGTAGTTTGAATGTTTGCCCTCCCAAACCTCATGGTGAAATTTGGTCCTGAATGTTGGGCTTCATGGGAGTTATTTGGGTTATGGGGGTAGATCTGTTGTAAATATAGTAATATCCTCATTGGGATGGGGGGAGTGGCTGAGTGAGTTTTCACTTTATTAGTACCCACAAGAGTTCCCCCAAGAGCTGGTTGTTAAAAAGAGCCCGGCACCTCTCTTCTCTCTCTTGCTTCCTCTCCTGCTATATGATCTCTGCCATGCCAATTCTTCCTTGCCTTCTGCCATGAGTGAAAGCAGCCTGAGCTTCACCAGGTGCCCAATCTTAAATCTTTTAAGACATCAAAATCAGGCTGGGTGTGGTGGCTCAAGCCGGTAATCCCAGCACTTTGGGAGGCTGAGGCGAGAGTATTGCCTTAGTCCAGGGGTTTGAGACATTATTGGTGAGACCTATAAATCAAAAAATTAGCAGGGTGTGGTAGCATGTTCCTGTAGTTCCAGCTACTTGGAAGGCTGAGGTGGAAGGATCGCCTAAGTCCAGTAGACTGAGGCTGCAGTGGCCATGAGCATGCCACTGCACTCCAACCTGGGTGACAGGGTGAGACTCCAACTCAAAAAAAAAAAAAAAAAGACAAAAAAAGACATCAGAATCATGAGCCAACTAAACCTTTTTTTCTTTACAAATTATCCAGTCCTTTATAGCAATAAAATGGACTAAGACACCACCCTAAAACGTAGATGTGACAGAAGCTTGATGTACCATGCCTTATATGTAGATCTCTCAAAGGTGATCTCTGACAGGTCTTTGCATCAGGACATGGGAGTTTCTATGGGAGATTTGTCCCTGAAACTATGTAACCTGGATGGTCTTAAACTAGTGATAGGAACTACCTTCATGAAGAGTCTGGTAGAAGTCCTGGCCAAAGTAACTTTGGAGACTTTCACTTATACGTTTTCTCTTTTGTTTCCTCAAGATTTAGGAAACATAATTTTTCACCTCCACCCCCACCTTCAGAATGAAGCCATGAGATATAGACATATGCTTACATCAGGATATGGCAGAGATATAGTGGATTATATACCCACATGGAATGTGGCAGGACAATGTTAACTTGCATGATACGGCAGAGGTGTTGTGCATCATGTCCCCATGCATGGATATAGCAGAGTATGGCGGGATCATGTCACTATGCATCCAATATAGTAGAAGTATGATAGGTCACAGCCCTTCTCAGGACTTTGGGCTATTAAGGGGGGGATCTGCTGTAGTTACAATATTTTCTTCAGATGTCTCTGAAAAGTACTTGGTACACTATGTATTTCTCTTTCTCAGACCCTTATGGGCCACACAGCAAAAACTGAATGCTCTTCTATTGGAACTAAGCATAATTGAGATGGAAGGAGATTGTTTTATTTTCTGTGGTTTTGAAAAAATTTTCATCCTAGGCTGCTTAAAACAGAGAGGATATTCTCCTGTCTGTCTTTCTCACCATGTTGGCTATGTTCTGAAAAGTTGGATTCTATCAGTCCTTTTATAGAATAAAACCATTTTTGCTTTCTTGCCTTCAAGACCTTTACAAATGATTCCCAATGTGCTTCATCTCTCCGGTCTTGTTGGCTAGTGTTTGGGTTTCTGCACCTGACATCCTAGACACCCAACAACTCCTCATCTTTTCTGACTGTGCATCTGCCTGGCAAGATTTTCTCTCCATTTCTTCACTCATAAGACTCCTGTGGAAACTTCAAGACCCTGAGGAAAGATTCCTTCATTTGTGAAGCTTTCCCTGGCTCATCTGGCTAGTTATTCATTCTCTCTTCTATCATGGCAACTATTCAAACCTTTGTTATAAGATCTATTTTCCATATTCCATTGTTATAACCTATAGACTTGTAGCTGACTGTATTTCCCTCTCTCTAACCATGATCTCCACAAAGTCTTTGTCCATAAATTGGTCATTAATAAGACCAAAAAAAAAAAATTTGTAGAGAGAGAGGAAGAGAGGTTACATTTACTTAAGAGCCTCTGGCAAAAACAGTGGACTCAGCATTATAGGCAAAGAAGGCAACAAGTCAGTAAGAGCCCCTTAACAGCTGTTTAATTTACAAATGGTGATCTGATAAATTTCAGAACTTTGCAAATGACAAAATAGTAAAGTGTAAGCACCCTGCCAGAAACTGTCAACATAATTTACATAATTACAGAAAACATTTAAGTAACTAATGACATATGACTGCATATCAGTGTTAGGAACAGATATATAAATCAGGAGGAGAGTTTTCTGAAAGTGTATTTAAAATGGTCAAAACTCTTACTAGTTTTACTTCAAAACACTTAAAGAAAACAAAGTCTTGGGCCTGGGATAATGATGCATAAGAAGAAGTATATTCTGCAAATTTAGAAAAAGAATAAAGACATTAAAACAATATAGTTGAGAATAGAAATGAAGTGATTTTGAAGATTATTTTTCAATATGATTAGTTTTTCATCAAGGAAAGTAACATTTAAAATGCAAAAGGATTCCTAAACTTATTTTGACTATCACAGGTGACATAACTCAGATCAAATGACAAGAATCTTGGAGTTGTGATGGAAAGATATTTGTAGCCATTAGATTTATAGCTTTTAAAAAATTATCTTCAATTTTTTGGCAGAAAAAGTATACTCAGATTTCATTATGTGAAGGTATAAAACCAGAGTTAAATTTCCATGAAAACCTATTTTTGTGCTCCTTTTCACTGGATGGCTTCCATTTTGCGGTAGCACAATTACAGTGAATTCAGAATTATTCCACTACATGGTGAACCTAAATATGGGTGCAAGTTCTAACATTTAGCAGCCCAACTGTACATTCCATGAGATCCCCCAGTGGGAGGAGGGTGTAAGGGAGCTAGTGACATCACTCTTCTCTTAACAAAGAGCTCGCAATGCTAATTCTCATATCTCTCACCCATCCAGATGGATTTCTCATTTTGCAGTCTGCCAACCATAGTATGAGAAGAAAGAGCTTGGCTAGTGTAGGGGGTAGACATATTTGGTGGTTACTTCGTACCGTATATATATATATATTATCTGTATTACCTTCATACAGGTATGATTATTCCCATCTTACAAAAAAGGTTACTGAGACTCTGGGAAACTTAGTAACTGCCC